GTGTGTGTGTGTGTGTGTGTGTGTGTGTGTGTGTGTGTGTGTGTGTGTGTGTAGGTCAGAGAGAGGTTTGTGTAGTTTCTGTGTTGCAATGTACATGTACAGATGGATATAATGTCATAGGCTCTATGGTACAATGCAGGGAAGAATTTTTAACAAAGTGTTTAACCCTAGAAAGTTAAGGTTTTTATCTTAAAATTTTTACAGAAAATTTTAAAACAAATATACTGTTAGCACACAGTATTTTGTTTGTTAAACTATTTTGAATAGTTAAAATTACTTGGAACAATAAACCTACATATAAATTTGATTTGTGAAATTTGTAACTAAGCTAGCAACGTCCTTCCTGCAGTCTCTGGTGCTGTCATTACACATCAGCCGATCCATCTCTGTCAACATTCTTCAGACTTTAACATTATCATTCTTTACTTTAAAAAAGTTTAAATCTGAAGAACAGCTTTAGACTTCATATGAATATTGCATAGCTGCTCACTGTACAGAAACTGCCTTGGAACTGGTTTTGAAGTTATTATGTATAAAACCTCTATTTTTGGATTTATGTACAAAATATATTTTTAGCTACTACTTTCTTCATTCTCCAAATAATGGGTCATCTCATTGTTATAGCTTTACTTTAATTCATTTTGTGTCAGTAGAATGTTTTTAGAAGTTTATTATTAACTTTTATATCTGAAACCCACACAAGGTCTAAGTCCTTTTCAATATACTTGCTTTAATTGACTCTGAATTCATCTGTTTTAAGAGCAGTTTTTCATTCTGGTTATTACTTATCATAAACCAATGGCTAAAGCACAATATTTACATTTCTATTTATTTCTTATTAAATGAAGCAGCATTGGAATAGTAAAATTTATAGCGTTTTGGCTTTTTTAAAACTGTTTAATGCTGCTACAACTTGTACACAAATTCTAGTTCTGTTAAAGGACTCTGTAAGAACTTGTATCAGGCAGGTGGCAGCACTGCCTATGTAGGGATGGCTCAATTGTTTATTGAAATAGTATTTTACATATCTCCAACAGGTCATCAGAACTTTACAATACTATACAGTGTTTCCTTTTATAACA